AGAGGAATTATGGCAAAGGTAAACCATGGCACATGTTAAAAACCCTCTGCTTGAAGACTCCACTGGTGTAATGTGGCTGTGACTAAAATAGCTAGCAGGAACAACTTAAAGAAGCATCCGTCCACAGATGACCAACTCCATTCCTTTGGGCCCAAGGTGACACAGTGCATCATGGCGGAAGGGCCTAGTAGAGGCTCAGCTTGTGGAGGGGTCAGAAGCAAAGACACAAAGGAGAGAAGGGGCCACAGGGAAGATGCACCCGCCTAGGGCACACACCTAGTGACCCACTTTCTTGAGCCATACCCCAACTGCCTGCAGTAACCACTCAGTCTATTCAAACTAGAATGAACAGATTAAGTTACAAATCTCATAATCAAATCATCTCCCCTCTTAATATTTTTGTATTAACACAAAAACTCTGGGGGAACACCTCATATTCAAACCATAATAGCAGTCCTTCCCGAAAAGCCCATGAGAGAACTCCATGAGAGAAGGTCCTGTGTCAGGTAGCAGGATCTTTCCTGACCCTCATCTCTCCTCCCTTTCCCTCTCCCTCTCTTCAAGGGGCCAGAGTGCTTGGTAAAATCCAAGAATAGAAGAGAGAGATCCCTATCAGCCAAGACATCAGGGCATTCTTTGCTTTCTTTACTATAGCTTTCTGGTCTTAGTTGAGGGAGAAGACATAWATTTTTWAAAAATCTTTTAATTTTGTACAACACTGGACAATATAACCACAAAATGAGAGTGTTTTCTTATCATTAAAATGAACAAAATTAATTTTTCAAAATCAAATGTAACTGGAAACTTCAAAATATCTCAAAGTTTTCATCCAAAGAATTACAAAGAAACAGTCCACAAACACAGTTCAGGGTCAGCAGTAAGAAAGAATAAGGTTATTTTTTGCCTCTACTCTATCAAGTTGAAACTCGGTCAAATATCTGGCAGAAGGACCCCAGCATTTCTGTACCTATTAAACCAAATTCTTGTCTATTCTAATCTGTTTCTTTTCTCAACTAGCTTTAAATTACTAAAAAAAATTCATAAGTAGGATTTTTATTGGAGTAGGCCTGTACATTTCATTTGGGGAAAATTTAGTTCTCTGTAATACACGTTATCCTAGAACATGGTGTCCCTCTGTTTATGCAATTATTTTTWAATTTCTCAGTAAAGTTCAATAATAACCATCTTCATTATATCCTATATATTTATTGTTGGCTTTAAACCTATAAATGTTATAGTTTTACTGTTGTTTTTGTTGTTACAATGGAGTATTTCCTTCACGTCTTAAAATTGGCTATTGAGTCTAACTTACAGATGCTCCTCAACTTGCATTTCAATGAACCCATCACAAGTAAAAATATCATAGGCTGAAATTGCATTTAATATACAAAACATACCAAACAGCATAGCTTGGCAGCACACCTGTTATCATCATGACCACATGGCTGACTGGGAGCTGCAGCATATCATTAGCCCAGGGAAAGATCAAAATTCAAAACTCAAAGTATGAATTTTACTGAATGTGTATTGCTTTCATTGTAAAGTTAAAAAGTTGTTAGTCAAACCATTGTAAGTCAGGAGTCTTCTATATAATGATTGATGTTTATGTCAATAACTTTACTAAATTTTTGTTAATTTAAAAAACATGTTTTAGTTGATTATTTTGTATTTCCAGGATTTGTAGTTGAATGATCTACAAAATTAATATGTATGTTTCTTCATTTTATAGCTTTAATTTCTTCTTTGTATTTTACTCCATTGACAAAAAAGATCTAGAAAACACACTATGAATGGTGATATAGATCAGATAGGTCATGTTTTTTATTTAAACTGGAATTTTTCTATTTTTCAACCTTGAGGTTCAGGTCAGCTATTGTCTTTAGAAATATGTCTTTGTKTGTGAAGGAAATAAAATGTTATTCCTGGTTTTACAAAGATTAGGTTAAGAAAGAGTATGTAACAATTCAAAGGCTACCACTTCAAGATATTTTGACATTCAAAAGCAACTCTTCAAGTGCTTAATTACCCTCTACATAATTTAACTTTATTTCACAAAGTTAATCTATATTCTCATGTTTTGCCTCAAATAAAGGCACAAAATTGTCAGTTCTTACAGATTTTTAAGGCCCATATGAAAAATTAATAAATTTTCCAACAAGACTATTAATCACTAGACACTATTAATCACTAGACTTGTATACATGTTCAGTTTTCAAGAGGAGATATGACAGATTTTTTTCATGTTATAATCATAATAGTAGTTAACATTTTTAGCATTTGTAAGCACTTAGGAAAGAATAATGTAATCACCAGGAGCCATATATGTTCACTGAAAATAACATTCCAATTAACCAAAATACTTTTCTTTTTGATAGTTATTAAATGAGAAATTTCAGTAGACAGAGTAGAATTGGATTTCATGAATTCATTTATGAAATGTATTTGTTAAAGCCTCTCATGATGTCCTTTTGGTAAGCTGGCAACATGTGGATGGAAGTATAGATTTACAGCTACTTGAAATTAGAATCTCAATAGTGGTTCTGTGTTCCAAGGAGGAATTACCAGGAGAGGCTCTTCATCTTTCCTATTAAACATTTTTTTTAAATCAATTCTTGGAATGAAGGTATAGGAGGCACACATGCCAAACTTCAAAATGTCACAATGTTAGGAAAGAGAAGAAATCAAATGGCCTAGAACATAAAAACTTTAAAAGATTTTATATTATTGACTTGAACCATGGGTAGAAATATGAAAAAAAATTAAGAAAATGAGTGAGGTCTTACATAAATAAATCTATCACAAAAGCATAGGATGAGGTGACTGGCTTGGTGCTACTCACATTAATACTGTTAACTAAATGCCCTATGAGTTCTAGTCAATATGGAGCACCTGATATGGATGTCACAGGAGGGTGCCTAAGGAAGCAGTGGAGAAGGGGAGGCTGGTGGACAGGAGGTTTACTAGGAATGCCCTTGGAAGCAACATCTGTGAAGGGCAGGTGGGAAGCAGGAGCAGGCAAAGGGAAAAGCCGAACTGCAACATGTACTCAGGGGCTCCTATGACGAAACTCATGGCATGCTCAGAAGTAGAATGGCTCCTCAGAATTGGTCCTGAGTTGGTCCCAAGTTGGACCAAGATGGCAGGGCCTCTGTATTCTTATACCAACCGGCCATTGGATGTGGGCTGCCCAGGGAACAAAAGGGATATGACCTTGAATGAAAGGGCTCTCTGCAGCTGAGCAATTCCTAAAAGGTTGACAGCTGAGCACTATCTACAGACAGTACTGCCAGCAGCTGGGTCAACAAATCCTTCAGTGAAGGGGTTTCTGGGCCATGTATCACAGTGTCCACCACAGTGGGAAACCCCAGCACTGACTCCAAACCCACAGAAATGCTGGGGAGAATATATTTTTTAAGATGTTTTTAATACATGGTGAAGCATAGAAAAGCAAGAGAAGGTGCCAAAAGTAAAGCAGGAGCTGACAGGCAAAGCACATGGCCCAGATATATGCCTTAGAAGAACATGAGTTTAAGTTCTTTGAGAAAGAAATTAAAGCCCTTAGTCTCTATTCCCAGTCAGCCATCAAAACCCAGAAAACCAGACGCCTGACACCCATGGGTGTGTGGTCTGAATTTTTACTATTCTCAATGTGAGAGTACACTGATTGAACCATTAACATAAAAATTGATCTAAAAATGGACCTATGTATAGATCCTCAGCAAAGGAAAAACTCAAAACACCCCAACACCCCATGGGATGATACCACCCCGGTTCACCTGAGACTCCCATGGTAATCAATGTCACTGAAATGAGCACACATGCCCAGTAAGAGGGACACGGGTGAAAACTTCCACCTGCCAGAATCTATAAAACTTAGACCATCTGAAGGAGACTTAAAAACGGTTTAAAATATTCAGAAAAATTAGGAGAAAAATCCAAAAATGAAATAGACTGGAGAAAATCACAAATAGAAGTTCTAGAAATTAAAAGTASAGACATTTTTTWAAAAAAGTTAATGTATTAGAGGACTGATTACAGAGATCACCTAGGATGCAGTCCAGAAAGATAAATTAATGAAAAATATGAAGTATCTTCTATGTTCAAGAAATCTTTTAAGATGCTGAAAACCSTTTTTCATTCATTAAACATGTATTAAATAACTACAATGTGCCAAGTATTGTGCTAGATATTGAGAATACAATAATCACCAAAAAAGAGTAACATTTCCTTAAGTTTTCGTTGGCTTCATGAAAATGTAGTTCACACTTTCATAATCCATGTCACCTTATAATTAAATAAATAAAAGTTAAATATGAAGAGCTGTCTGGTAGACTTGAACTATGACCTGATGATGAAGAAAATTTTGTCCCACTGTGCTTTTTACTGGTTAATCSTATCTGGAGTAATGTGGTCCTTTCTGGACACCACAACTTAAAATTGAGTGTTGATAAATTATGGAGAAGCCAGACTCAACAAACAAGGATAAAGAAAATCCTGGAATATAGGGTATTTAATAAGTAGCTGAGGAGTGTTCCAACCAGGGAATAAGAAAATAAATAAATACAAAASCCTTTGGTACTTTCTAAATCTAAAGTGTTCTGATTCAGCTCAAGGCTTCTGTGTCAATGATGAACAGTTCACCTCTTCCTTCTCCTCACTACATAGGTGGACTATGTCCCTACCTTTGCCTCTAGTTAGAAAAGGTCATATGACTGAGTTCTAGCCAATAGAATAGGAAAAGAAGTGCTTTGTACCAATTCCAAGCATGTCCATAACAACCTCACGTGTGTCTGCCTCTCACCATCTGCAGATTTGCACAGCACAGTGACCTTGGAAGTCAGTGCTGAAATTAGTAGTGCCACAGGATGGAAGGAGTTGCATTCCCTGAGTCACTGTTTGGAGAAGAACTTCCACCAAGGACATAAAATTATTCTGGGTTTTACATAATTGAGAAGTATAATTTTACCTGTTTAAGCATTTATACATTTTTTTCTTTTTGACAACAGACCAGTAATATAACCACAGCCTAACAAGATTTAAGGGAGGAATAGCTCATATAATGGTGTGAACACCCAAACATCATATTATGAATCACAAAGGTTTTTTTTAAATTAATAACCTTTACTAATACAGATTCTTAAGTTCCCCCATCCAATTTTCATATCTAGTGGCTGCCTAATTCATCTTAATGGAATTCTACTTATCACAATCCTATTTTCCTCAGGGAGGCGCTCTTGAAGGGAAAGCTTTGTCATTACCTAGAATTCTTTTGGTCATAGAAACTGGCACATCATTTTGTCACTGGTCCAACTTCTTTAAAGGAAAGAATATTTCTTACTCATTCTCCATCAGAAATTTAAGTGTTTCCTCCTCAAAGAAACTGAGTTACCCAAAGATTCTTTCATGCTTTTGTTTATATCTTCAGGAATGATCAAGGTATACATCAGGCAATTATTGACTGGGTCAATTAATTATAAATGTGAAGATGTGCCTCTGAGCTTTTTGACTCTTAATGAGAAAACCAGACAGAGCAACATTTTGCAAAAAGAACAGAGACTATGTATGAATGCAAACACATAAAACATTTCAGTGGTAACATATATCATGTTTGTATATAAATGAGAACAGGTTGACTTCAAATCAGTTATTTCCGTATATAAAACTAACAGCTTCCTTTTTTGTTCTCTTTACTACATCAAGGAAACCTGGATATGTAGCTATTTTTAAAATACACACAGGGTTTCCCTGAGCAAATGGTCTTTCACTAAATTAGTAAATGAGTAATGGTAATGAGATTACTCTGGTATTGAATAGCACATGTCAGAAAATATAGTGCTCAGGAATCAAAAAACAAGCAACCAAGACTTTCAAGAAATCTTAATCTCTGCTACTGAACAAACACATCTGTTCAGCTCAAGGCCAAATAGCTAATAGATCCCTGATTTTTATGAGCATAAATAAAAATTTATGCTATGCTCAAGGGCAATGCATTCTTACCTTTCTCAGGGATTTGCACTGGAATCAGAAATAAGAATGAAAGAAAATATGGGCTTGTTATTTTCAGAGACTAAGAATAAAAGCTAGTGCTTGGTAAGTAGAAAACATCTAATTACTGTGTAYCTTAATGATATTCTAGAAACCTAGACCTGCCCCCTTGGGCCTTCTGAAACTTCTCCTCTCGCACAGATCACATAGCACAGTAGTTATACACTTCTACATCTGCCTTCTTCTCCTTAGCTAAGATTCATGAGGACAGGCCTCACTGCTGACCACACATTTGAGCCCAGGGAATTGGCACCATCAAAGCCTTTAGTAAATGTTTAATAAATCCTTGCTATATAATCTTGGAATTTTCCTAAAAGCATCAATCCAATTGTGATGATTTTTCTCCCTGTTATGAGTAAACTTTGAAGAACAGACACAAAATTAATCAAGTTTCACTATCTGTGTGACCTCTAAATTAGTGAGTTTCAAGTCAGCTAAGAGCAAATGATGCTAAAGAGCTTATCTAGGTTTTACCCTACCAGTAACAATCCCTCTTCTAAGATTACCTTAACTAGAAATTATGTTCTATGAAAACAGAAACACATCTGTCTTACTCAAGACAGTATCCCAGCATGCATGCAATAATATTTGTTGAGTAAATGACTGATCTCTCTTGTGTAATTTTTTGAGAAAGTTTCAATGACATTAGCTTATCAAGACGAATCCTTGACATAATCACTTCTCTGATTCCCTTTGTATGTTTCCAACTTGTCAGCTGGCTTACCTCAATGTATTATTTTTTTTATCACTGCTGTAAAAGATTTCAAAAGCTTAGCTTATTAGTTCACAGGTCTCCTGGTCAGAAGTCCATGCAGGCTCAGAGTCTAATCTGAATCTCATAAGGTTGAAATCAATGTCAGTCAAGATGGGTTCTCATCTGAATGCTTTGGGGGAAAAATCCACTTCCAAGCTCATTCAGATAGTTGGCTGAATTCAGATCCATAGGATTGTTGTACTGAGATCTTTGATTCCTTGCTGCTTGTTGATCAGAAGTCACACTCGGAAAAGGAAGATGGTGGTGAATAGAGTGCATCACCCCCATGTACCGCGTCACTGCGCAGGTGAATAAYGAGTTAGAACAGCCAAAAGCTATCTTGTTAGGAATTTCCAGCAAAATTGGGGTGCACTGAAACCTAGAGGAAGGATTTCCATCACCCGAGGATCGGTTACTGGGGCTCAATTGCGAGTGAACCGTGCGCCCAGAGATTCAGGCTGATTGATCGGCGGCCCGCCCCGCAGCCAGAGACTGCGTGCTGAGAAATGGCATGCCAGCAACACAGAGAAAGGGCTCTGTGGATTCTGTGGGGTCCTGCCAACTGTGCCCGCACTGTGCTCCAGGCTGAGTTCTGGGTTTGAGACKGGGGAGAGAAACARTCCATATCTGTCCTCCACACTGGACAACTCACYGARGAAGCCAGCRGCCACCATCTTGGAGAGCTGACGTCACCATCACCAGTTTCAGACATAGTAAGTTCAGCGATACAACAGGTGTGAGACATTTAGCCCTTCTCCCATACAGCGGGGAAATAGAATAAAATCTCTCCCCGGCTTTCCGGGGGCGTGAATATCAGAGTGAGCGTGAATAGAGGTGTGGGGAAAGGTAAAGGCACCTGACCTCCAATTCCCCCCTCCCACCAGTGGTGGAAACGAAACCTGTCTCGCCAGCTCTCGGAGGAGTGGCTATCGGAGGGAATCAAAACAATAGGGGGCCGGTTCCCAATAGCCTCGCTCCACATCCAGGAAACTGCAGGCCCAGAGTGTAGCTTGAACTACAGAGAGGTATCACACTGGGGAAGGCCTGTCTGGCAGGAGAAGCGAGGAGACTAGAGACCAGGAATAAACCTAAGCTAACAGGTTTGGAGAGACACCAGGTGGGGGAGGAGGGAGGGCAAAATCTTGGCCCGGAAGGCACATCACCACCTACTGGAAGCGAAGAAAATAGAAGCCTAACAGTGCCTTCTTTTTATTTTTTAATTTTTTACTTTTTTAATTTTAATTTTTTAAATTATTTTTTAATTGTAATTTTTATTTTACTGCATGTTATTATTTTTTATCATTTCTTTTTTTTCTATTCTTTTCTCTTTCTTTCTTCTCTCCCTCTCTCTTTCTTGGTTTGCTTCCTTACCTCTTCCCCATCTATACTCTTAAGCATGACCACCCAGATTACATATAATTTACTAAATGCAAATAGATGAATACTACAATACTACGAGCCGATCTATAGTCCRCCTAAGCCCTTAACTACCCCCAAATACTCCTGTCTATTCTCTTGCTAATATCCGACTGCATTTGAGCAACCCCCCAAGCTAACATATACTAACCTCCATACCATCAAATCGCCTGACCTTAACATAAAATCCTAAGTTCAAACCTCAATTCTCTATATGCCATCAAAATCTGTAGGCCTTTAATGAAACTAATGAATTTACCTTAAATCACAATTAAATCCAACATCTCTAAACATTGTCTCCCAACACAAAGGAGCTATAAAAACCAAAACAAATTTATAGGAGAAAACAGAAACACAGCAAACAGAGTTGGAAAGTAACGTGAGCACCATGAAAAAACAAGGGAAAAAAGGAGTACAAACAATGCAGGACAACTTAAATTCACAGGAGAACCTAGAGGCATCAGAAAAATGGACAGAGAAAGAACTCAAGGCATACCTAACTCAGATGGAACGGAATCTTAGAGAATACATTAGACAGCAAGTCCAAACAATGAAAGTATACTTTGAAAACGAATTACATAAGCAAATTCAAATGGCAAAGAATGAGTTCTACCAGGAGATAGAGATTTAAAAAAAATCAGACAGTAATCCTAGAAATTCAGGAAACCATAAACCAAATTAAAAACTCAAATGAGAATATTACAAATAGACTAAATCAAATAAAAGTCAGAACATCAGATAMTGAAGGCAAAGTTTATCAACTTGAAAAGAATATAGTCAACACAGAARGGATGCTAAGAAATCACAAGCAATCTAGCCAAGAGATATGGGATGTCATAAAAAAAAACAAACTTGAGAGTCATTGGGATAGAAGAAGGTGTAGAGGTTTAAACCAAAGGAATGAACAATCTATTGAATGAAATAATCTTAGAAAACTTCCAAGATATGAAAGATGGAATGGATTGCCAAATCCTGGAAGCCTACAGGACCCCAAAATACAAAACTATAATAGACAAACTCCAAGACACATAATTATGAATATATCCAACATACAGAACAAGGAGAGAATATTAAAAGCTACTAGAGAAAGGAGGCAGATTACATTCATGGGTAAACCAATTAGGTTAACGGCTGATTTTTCATCACAGACGTTGAAAGCGAGAAGATCCTGGAACAACGCATTTCAAAYGCTGAAAAATAATGGATTCCARCCAAGAATACTGTATCCAGCAAAATTAAGCTTCAGATTTGACAATGAAATTAAAATATTTCACAATAAACAAAAGTTAAAAAGAATTCGCAGCCAGAAAACTAGCACTGCAAGGCATTTTGAGCAAAACACTACAAGAAGAGGAATGGAAAAACAGCACCAAAAACTAACAGTGGGAGGTAACTCAGTAAAGGAGAGAAAAAAATAACCAAAGAGGAAAAACTAGCCATATTAAAATTAATAAATAAATTAGCATGACTGGAAGTACAAACCATATATCAATAGTAACCCTAAACGTTAATGGCTTAAATTCACCAATCAAGAGACATAGGCTAGTAACCTGGATTAAAAAAAAAACAATCCAACAATATGCTGCCATAAGGAGACTCATATGATAGGAAAACACATACACAGGCTGAAGGTGAAAAGTTGGGAAAAAGCATACCACTCACATGGTCCTTGGAAGCAAGCAGGAGTGGTCATACTCATATCGAATAAAATCAACTTCAAACCTAAGTTAATCAAAAGGGGTAAAGCAGGACACTATATACTGTTAAAAGGAACCATCCACCAACAAGACATAACAATTATCAATATGTATGCACCAAACAATGGTGCTGCAACGTTCATAAAACAAACTCCCCTCAAGTTCAAGAGTCAAATAGACCACAACACAA